CGGTCATCGGAAGCCCGCCCCTCAGGGGGCGTGGCTTGCGATCATCGCAAGTACGATCTGCCTATGCAACAAAGGCAGATCGTACGTTTTTTTTAAGTACCTTACAACCATCGCAAGACAGAAGTCTTGCGATGGTTGTAAGGTGTGTGCCCAGCCTTAGTTTATCTGTTAAACGGATGGGAGTCTTTTTACATTCGGTTACCCCCAGCTTCAGCCAGGTACGGAAAAATGAACTGATCAGAGTTCTGTTTCGGTAGACTTTATTGTGGCAGATCAGGGGTATAGCTCATGTAGACCATAATCATGGGTCCAGTAATTTTCCTCCATTGCAAGATGGTGACATCCGTTCCAATCAGCAGGGGATACGTGCACGGATCTCCTCCTGGTCAGACTGTGTGAAAGGGGCCTGAGTTGTTGAGAAACCCAGCCGAGATAATAGATGACTTGCAGACCTTGTCAGTCTTAAAAATGATATCCCAACATTAAAAAATATATTTCAATTGGTAGATTGGTTTGTTGCTTGTGTGTGTGGTGTACCAGCTTGATCATTAAGGTGTGAGCCTCTGTACCTTCTGTAATGAGAGGCAACACTGCTTGGGCTGTAAAGAGGGTTTACTTGCTTGTTAACTATTTTCAATACACTTTGAACCTTACTTGAAAACAATTAATAATAATAATAATAATAATTCTAGAACAAGAAGAAGAGACGTACCATCAGGTTAGCACAAGTAATTGTACATTGAGCAATATGACGTACCATCAGGTTAGCACAAGTAATTGTACATTGAGCAATATGAATGTGTTTCTCACACAATAAGATATAATTAGGCAATCAAGGTAGGTCAGGCAAGGAAAGTAAAATTAAGCAGAAATGAAGACCGATTAATTAAAACCTAGGCTATGAGAATAGCAGGGTATATGAAATTGTTTTGCTGGTTATAAACCACATTTTTCTTGCATGGCCAGCGCTGATGTCATCAGTAGTGTCAAACTAGATTGCATATACCTTTTGCACCTGTATTCGTCAAGATTTAAAGCATAAATATAATATCCAGCAGGACTTGGCACCTGCCCACACTGCCAAAAGCACCAAAACCTGGTTCAATGACCATGGGATTACTGTGCTTGATTTGCCAGCAAACTCGCCTGAACCCCATAGAGAATCTATGGGGCATTGCCAAGAGAAAAATGAGAGACATGAGACCGAACAATGCAGAAGAGCTGCAGGCCGTTATTGAAGCATCCTGGTCTTCCATAACACCTCAGCAGTGCCACAGGCTGATAGCTTCCATGCCATGCCACATTGAGGCAGTAATTGCTGCAAAAGGGGCCCAAACCAAGTACTGAGTACATATGCATGCTTATAATTTTCAGAGGTCTGATATTCTTCTATGTACAATCCGTGTTTTATTGATTGCATGTAATATTCTAATTTTCTGAGATTGTGGATTTGGGGTTTTCATGAGCTGTAAGCCATAATCACCACAATTATGACAAATCACGGCTTGACTTTGAACGTGGGATGATTGTTGGCCCTCGGAGCCGTGGAGCGAGTATCAGAAAAACAGCAGAATTCGTTAAATGTTCAAGAGCAGCTGTTGTTAAAGTGTTTAAAGACTGGACTGTCAGCCGAAAATCTGGGTCTGTACGTGCGAATTGTGGCCGTCAGCGACTAGTCAATCCGGGTATATTGCTCATTGGTCCACTTGAATTGTAAATTCTAACATGCAGGGGGCTATTCAATCCTTTTATTACCTATAATAGCCTGTACTGTTAAATATTTAGACATTTTTACTTTTTATCCCGCTGTGAAGTGCTACAGAATATGATGGAGCTTTTTTCTGTATAAAAGATAATAAGAATGGGGATTTGGGCTTTGCTCTTGGCTTGTTTGTAGTCTTATCATGCAAACAAAGCCCAGCTTGTCCAGTCTCCCGGTGAAATAGCTGCAAGATCTGTATAGTAGCTTTCAGAATAGTAATAGAGATGCAGTAATGTTGGCATAGAAATTCAGTCCCAATTTTGACTATTAAAGTGGACCTAAGCCCTTCTTTACTAAAATTCATCACACTGTTTCAAAGTTTTAAGCTGAATCAAAAAGGTTTGTATATCTGCCCTAACACTCACACCAAGCTTCAGATCTGGGCTTTAGCTGTGGCTGGGAAGTAATGTGAGTGGTCATCGCTAGAGATGTGCAGTTAGTTTGCTCAAGCCCATGCAAAACTGTGACTGCCCCCCACCCCCCACTCGAATGCATTGCAGTCTTTGTGGTATGTAGCTGCCGGGGGGGTGTCAATCACAGTTTTACGTGGGCTTGGGGGAACTCAGACAAACTGGATATGCAGCAACTCCCATATGTATCATCACCCAGGCAGCATGTTGAAGTAGAGCCTCTGGTTAAGCCAGGCATGTCAAACTGATGCCCTCTCACTACTATTTTGTTGGTTTTGGTTTGCTTAAGAATTTAAACTAAATAGGGCTGTCTTATAACAACTGTTAGTCAACTCTTTTAGTCTGGCTGCTTTCCATATGTCGCTGGAAACATCATCTTTTTATCAAAGATCACACAGCTTCACAAAATCCCTCTAATGTGGGGCGCTCTGAGCAGAAATCTAAACTTATCTTCAGCTTACAAAAAAACTACCCTTGCAGTGGGGCTACCCCCGTACTGCAAGGGTAAGTGCTCGTTTTTGTCTAGGGGACTTTTTGTAAAGCACTTTCACTTGCATGATCCGCACTCCCGCAAGTTGCAAGACTGGTGCCTGCAGTCTCTTCCCTCCTTCCCTCCACTCCAACAGTTGGAGGCCAGCCCAATGATGTAATTGAGTCTAATGTGAGGATGCTTAGGGACAGTCTGTGAGCCTAAGGGGAGGGGAGAGAGGTGAGCGCTGTCTTCCAGGGGAACGGGAATAAGATAAAAAAAAAGAGTAATATATATATACCCCTAGGCAATAACGAGCCATTAACTCTTGCAGTGCAGTTGCAAGGGTAGTTTGTTTTATTTTCTCCCCAGAGTTAGGCTTTATTAATTTTTTAAGAATTGCAATAGCAGATGTTGTGTCTGGTGTGTCTGTCTGGTAGATACTTACATAACCACCTAGAAGATGTAAACAAACAGAGTTTAGGTCAGAGGTGAGAGAGAGAGAGAGAGAGAGAGAGAGAGAGAGATGCCATACACTATGTTCTTTATAATGATACTTATTAATAAAGTAACTGTCCATTTTATTTTTTTCTGCTTTTGTTGTTGCTCTTAGGTGTATGTGGCTTGTCAGTCAATGCTGATTGTCATTGTGGGCGCTGTACCAGAATATCACATTGATAAGGAAGAAGGCCTCAGCGATGAAGATTTTATCAAGCATGTCCGATATGCAGAGAACTTCACCTCCATAGTATCTGAGGTAAGCATCATTCAAAATGCTTTAGGGAGTACAGTAGATAAGAAATGTAATTTTCTAAATTGATTATGTCTTTGCCTTATAATTTTTTCAAAGGTAGATGTACTGTTCAACTAATATTCTGACTGTCTACCTTTTCTTCAACCAAGCATAGATCAGTGCTATAGAAAAATGTCACACTTAACTCTGTTTTGTGTAATCTTTCCTCACTTTCCACAGCCACATTATAGTCTCTGGTTATTTGCAGCCTCATATGTTCTCGTATAGGGCTTGTTTCAGTAAAGGTCAATAAGTGAAACAGTTCCATTAATATTTTTCACACAGATTAGTTAACGCCGCATTCCAAACAAAATGATAAATTACACACTGCATCGGGTGTCAGTGCCGGTGCCAGGATTCTTGCCTACACAGGCAATGTGCATTTTTGCGCCCTCCTTCCCCCCTACCCGAACCGCCTCCCCGACCCCCCTGTAGCGCTGGGCCTGCTTGCGGTATGTTAAATATGTACAAGTACTTGTCAAAATGCCCTGTTTTTTCCGCCCTCACCCTGCAGCGCCCTCAGGCGGCCGCCTGACTTGCCTTGCGGTAGCGCCGGGCCTGTCAGGTGTGTAAATACAAGACATTTTGTGAATAGAGGTTAGGGAAGAGGGGCAGGTGATGTGACCGGAGCACTGTACAGCTTGGGATGCATGTCTTCCTCTCTTCAGTGCCCGGAAGCTTGGTGTTGTGTGCCGGGGATAGCATACTGTGCAGCAGCCCTCTGCACCCAACACACAACTGATTAATGATAATTTACCCACCCAGTGTGGTGTGCAAATGATAATTTTGCCCAAAGTGTGGCTTTAAGAGTCTATTAATATATAGTTTAAAAAAAAGAAAATTTCTGAAATTTCACTCAGGATTCACCATTTTTTCCCCCCAATTAAATCCAGTTATAAAATGTGCGAATGTGTTAGACAATAAGTAATGCTATAGTACACCTAACCACTCAACCATCACATTTTCAAACAATTTATCCCCACATCACACAGCTACCTCCTCATGTATCACTTGCCCCTCCCTTTTAGATTGCAAGCCCTCATGGGCAGGGCCCTCCTTACCATCTTGTCTTGAATTGTATCGTGATTGTAATGTCTTCCTTATATTGTAAAGCGCTGAGCAAACTGTTGGTGCTATATAAATCCTGAAGAATAATAATAATAATATACACTTTGTGCACAATTATTAGCAGTTAAAGTGGACCTTTACCCCCTTTCACTAAAAATCACATCAGCATACAGCTATGCATGCTGATTTAAATTCGTCTTACATTCATTAGTTAAACTTGTTTTTCATTTACTTACATATAGAGTTCATCTACTTCCTTGTCCAGTTCAGGCACAAATTATGTAATGCGCCAAAGTGTTGCATCTAGGGTTGCCACCTTTTCTTCAAGCGAAACCCGAACATTCTAGCGACACGGCAACATTTTTTGGGGAGAATGAGTCATGGCTTATTTATAAAGTATGTAAATAGTGCCACACATTGTAAATATTACAGTTAAGACTATTTTCAGTGGGGGGCCAGTAGCCCCTATCTTAATTTTGGTTGCCCTGGTCTGTCTGACATCTTGTATCCGGGTTTCTGCTGCCATGAAACCTGGACACAGCATTCAAAACCTGGACTGTTCGGGTGAATCCTGGACAGGTGGCAACCCTAGTTGCATCCTGGGAAAGTTACATCAGCAGAGCATTGCTGGGAAACCTCATCTGTAATCTCCTGAGATCTTAGGGAAAGGCATTTTCCTCCCCTGACATGATGTGCATGGTGACATGTCCTGATATGTATTCAGTGGTGGTCATGGTTCAGGTTTATTTAGGAATGTCTCTGACCACCTTACACCTTGTTCTTTAGGACACTCCAGGTAGGTTGCAGTCCTGGAATCTGGAGGCTAATGAGTTACTGTTAGTTTTATATTATTTTTCCTTGCGTCTATTGCAGTTAGCTTGCACCTTTTTATTGTTCATGATTTTCTTGTGACTCTACTATTTCCATCAAAACATTGATTGCCCGGCGGTCACTCCCCAATATTTTAGAGTTTTGCATCTGTCATGAAGACATTTAAAATGTTTGACTTGGGCTGGGTGCACACCTAGGCGATTGCAGTTTTGTGCATTTTTGCTTTTAAAACGTGCGTTTCTACCTGCATAGCGATGTCTATAGGACCAAACTGCACAGCATCCACCTGAAAATAGCTCCTGCATCTTTTTGTTCGACAGGCGTTTTTCCTGCATACAACGCAATCTTATGGTGTGAACGGTCGCCATTGCCTTGCATGGAAATGTGTGTTTTTGTGCGTTTTCGCGTGACTAGATCTGCACGTAAAAACTCTCAGGTGTGAACCAGGCCTTAATTAAATCTGTTTTTGGTCCCATTTTATGTGATTTAATGAAGCTGTCTAATAAATAGGCACACCTAATATAATGTCTGAATCAATTTAGGCCACGTCCTCCCAACAAACAATTTACATATTAAGTAAAAATGATTAAACCTAATATGCATTCTGGTTTATATTATTTAGAGTTGGAACATGGTTATAGATGTAATGATAAGGTCAGTATATTGACTTGCCGTCTCAGGACAGTACATACTACAGACATCCTGTGTACTTTGATGGCGTTTTTGGTACATCTGTAGCAGTGTTAATTTCGCTGACCAAATATTTTAGTTTTTTTTTTCGACCTTTGGCTGTTTTTCCGTGACAAAAACTAAACAAAGTACTAGGGCAGTTAACAGGACGAACACGAAACATATATTCTCAGAATTTCCGTTGATCCACGAAAACGAAATGAAAATTCTCAGAACGAAAGGAAAATTAGTTCCCAGACTTGTGCATTTGGCCTCTGGATTTCCTGAGCACTTCCTGTAGTAGGGAGAGGTGAACAGCGGAATAATAACCGACTTTAATTTTCGTCGACTAAAACTAGACTAAAATAAAAATTAATCTGATGACTAAAATGCGACTAAAAATTAATTTTCGTCAAAAGACTAAGACTAACATGACATTTTGGTGTCAAAATGAACACTGATCTGTAGTACACCCAGTCTCCTCCACTGGTTAACTCTTAAAATATATTCCTTGTAATATGACAGTAGCGCTGCTGGATTGTGCAATATATTAGTGCGTTTATTTAGTTTATTCACCTAAAATGTTTTCGTGAAGTAGGTGTTAAAATCACCTACTAATTAAAAAAATAACAATGACCTGAAATGTTTCCATCTTCAATGAAGCTAGCAATATTGTGACATGGGATAATATCTCTGGATTTGCCACGTTTAGTGGAGATAAGTGATATTGCAGCTAGATGACTCCAACCTGTGGTATGCTACAGGTCATGTTGTCTCTGCCTTGTTAGAAATGTTCAGATCGGATATTACATCTCACAATCCATTACTTCCATAAATGCCAAGTAGGCTTTTGCTAAGTGACAGTTCAATTGTAAGTTCACCTTTCTTTCCTAACAAGAAAAAACAGTCATAGGCGCATCACATGTGCTGATACAGTTTTACATTTATGTTGCTTTTGCAGTATATCTTACACTGAAGTATTTTAAATGATTGTATATGCTTTGTTTATTAGTATAGTTTTTAAATCATTTGTCATGTTGGTGAGGTTTTAAAGGAAAAGGATTTCTAATGTTCAGAAATCCTCTAAGTTGTGCTTATGTGCCATGGCCTCCATTCGCTTTAGTGAAAAGTTCTCTGCAGCCTGTACAGCCTATGCTCAATGTGCTGGGCAAAGATAGGGGAGCATAAAAGTATAAAGAATTGTAAAGTGCACTTATCTATTGAAAATCTAAATTTCCAATTATATATCAGTGTACAATTATGTTCATGTGGGCACTATGTTGCTGTTGGGTATGCCTTGACTTGTCTGACTGCTCCTTGCCATTATACAGTCTAAAACCAGATTGCCTAATGTTCACTAAGATTCTAGTATTGGATGGATAAATGGTGGGACATGCTTAGGCTTGTATAACAAGTCAAGGTCTAAACTATCTGCACACAGTGCCCACGATGGAGGCTGCCTGCAAATGCTTTAGATAGGGATGCACCGATACAAGTATTGGTGTCGATGCCATGTATTTGGTTGAGTACCCATACTCGTCCAAATGCTCTGATACTTGCCCCCCAATACTGGAACTTTCGGTCAGAGGGAGATCTCCCTCTGACCGGCAATGCCACGATGGGAGCATGAAGCAGGCTTCCTGGCCAATCAGGAAGCCAGGAGCAGGTTATGACCCTCCTCCCGGCTTACTGATTTGATAGGAAGCCAGCTTCACTTGTTGCTAGGCAGCCTGGCTTCCTGACCTATCAGGAAGCAGGGCGGCACGTCATGACCCGCTGCCCGGCTTCCTGATTGGTCAGGAAGCCAGGCTGCCTCGCAGTGTCACGAGGGAAGTAAAGCTGGTATTCTTTCGATAGAACATGGGCTTTCCAGACAATCAGGAGGCTTCCTGATTATCTGGGCCCATGGATGCCTGTATCGGTTTTCAGTATCGGCGAGTACCAAAGACAAACTATTGGTACTCATACTCGATACTGACAAAACGGTATTGGTGTGATGTCAGAGGATCACAGTAATTGGATGGTTTGGGTTATTATACAACAATGCTGCTTGCGTTGTGTTATTAGGCTCCATTCACACAGGAGCGGTTGTCTGCACGTATTCGGACCTACGAATATGGTTGAGCGCCCTAAACATAAACAATGCATTTTAATGTGCATTGTTCAGACTATTGCGGGGACTGTGCGGTACAAAACCACATGACCGCAAAATATTCCAAGCACGATTGTAGGTGCGGACTCCGTACGTTCGCAGCTATAGTAAAAGCTGCAAATGAGTGGAATCTGTGCAGTTTAAAAGACTTTAGCGGTTTCGTGTTGTGCGGTCTCTCCTACGGAAAACCGCACGGGAAATGCAAACTCTACATGTGAATGGAGGCTTAATGTGGGATTCCAGAGTGGTTCCATACAATCACAACATGCCAGACACTTCAGAGCATAATTTCTATTACTGTCAGTAGCCTTCTATCTATCCATTATCTTTCTTGCATCCTATTCTGCAGCTATAAAAGTCATTCAAACACTTCTCCAGTTTTGAGTTACAGTTTGTTATTAAGAGATGGAAATGTCCATTAGGGTATTTTATCTGGTGAAATACTATGAATGAAAGCAGTATAGACGCTTCTGTGATTGAGCCGTCTGCCCACCAAATGTAAGCGCTGCAGTGGAGCTCGGCCACAGGGAGCGATAACATGAGAGTGTGCATTATGCTTCACTATAATTATATTATTATCTTATTTAATTATCCTTTTATTGTCGATGTTCAAGAGGAGTGTATAAATCTTCAGATAAACTACATAATCCTTTTAAAAAAGGCATGAGCCATTTTTTTTGGCTGCTGTGTTTCTGCTCCACATAGATCCATATTATTGGGACTAGTGCACTCAGGTGTTAAATACGTTCTTTCTCATCTCCCTAGTTGTTAATGAACACCCATGTGGTTTTGATTTCTGTGTTTATTACTGAAATCAGTTTTCAAAATTAGTTACAATGGAATGCCAACTGATTTTTATTATTTTTCTTATGATAGCATTGGAAAGAATGGCAACTGTTTGCAGGGATCCCAACCTGAAAAAATCAATTTAAGGGAGGTGCCCTTCTCATTTCAGGGAGGTGCAGTCTGAAAGAGCACCCCCCTGAAATGATGGCAGACAGCACTGGAAGAAATAGTTTCTTTGCTGTTTTTTTTTTTTTTTTCTTGTTTTTTTGACAGCAGTTAGACCTGATTGAGAACTTGATGGTTGGTTGACAGCAGCTGCATTGGAAAGCGTCAGTATGCCGGTTAGGAATAGATCACTGTCCTTAGTCTATAGTTGTTTACACGCAGAGTGATTGCAGATTAAGTGCTTGTGTCTTCTAAAGGTGAATCTACAGTTCTTTGTATTTAATACAATATCAAAAATGTGGAATTGCATACATGTCAAAACGTGAAAGTCAATCTAAAATTATTCAAAATGGACAAAAATATGTGCATACTTGTGTTATCAAATGTATGTGCACACCCCTTCAAATCATTGAGTTAAGGTGTGTCCAGTAAAGGGTACACTGGATAGCATACATAGACCGGTTTAGACAATCTGTGAGCTTACATGTTTATGGCATCGGTTTGGTCAAGACCCTTTTCTGTTCCAGCATGACCATGCCTCGGTGTACAAAGACAGACCAATACAGACATAGTTTGACAAGTTTGTTGTAGAGGAACACGAGTGGCCTGACCTCAGTACTATTAAACCCCCTCGGGATGATGGGATGAATTGAAACACGGTTTGGGGAGTCTTCTTATCCAAAACAGTATCTGACTTCACAAATGCTCTTTTGGCTGAATGAACGGCATATTATTACCCATGATTTTGGAATGGGATATGCAACAAGCAACAGGTGTGATGTCAGATATTCACAAACCATTGCCCATACAGTGTACTTTTAGGTGAATACTGCTGTAATAACTCAAAATCCATACTCTCTGAGAATACAGTATACTTTACTGTCCCCTTTTACAGTGCACGTCAAAGCAAAAAACAAACACATTTTGTTCATTTCTGCCATACATGCACATTTCCCCATGTTCTATCTCTTTAAACTATCCCTTTCACACATGCTGCAAATCCAAAAATAACCAATGCATTAGTAATAAAGTGTGTTACCTTTTTACATGGTATTACAGTATGTTCTTGGCTCTGAATTCCAAAGAATGTGGTGTCAACCCTGCCTGCTTCATTTCTGAGACATTACAAAGAACACAGACCTCTCCTCATCTCTTCCCCCTCGTCATCTCCATAACCCCTCCTAGTGCACAGAGAGAGAGCACAGGAAGTTATCAGCTCCTGGGACTTCTTGCAAAATCAAAGGGATTTTTTTGTACTTATTGAACAGATATAATAAACAAACTTACAATAGTAAATTTAGAAGACCAAAAGAGAGCAAATACCGTGTTTCCCCAAAAATAAGACCCTGTCCATATATTTTTTTGCCCCCAAAAAACACACTAGGTCTTATTTTCAGGGGATGTCTTATATTTTTTTTATTTTTTTTCACTTCAGAATGCCCACTGTTTTATTTACTGACAATGGTATGGTAAGAATGAGAATATTACTGTTGCTCTATTTCTTTTCCTACTGGTCAGTAAAGCAAATTCCACTCTTTCACAGGCGGAGTGCATCTGGTATCTGCCTGTCACAGTAACCGGCGCTATAGACGAAGTAGCGGCTAATGCGGCTCTGCTCCCTCCACCGCCGCTTTCTGCTTGCTTTCTACAGCGCCGGCTTCCTTTTCCATCAGGGACAGCGATACCAGCGGGTCAGCAGTGGGGACATCGGACAGTGCAGTAAAGTACATGCTACCACCAAACTAGGTCTTATTTTCGGGGGAGGTCTTATATTACAGGAATCTTGAAAAATAGTGCTAGGTCTTACTTTCGGGGTAGGTCTTACTTTCAGGAAACACGAGAAGTGCATTGTTAGTGTTTACATACACATTATGTGTAGCTCCAGCCAAATCTTGTTTTCAATGGGACAGAATCTGAAGCGATGTCTCAACATTGAGAGCACAGATGGAAGATTAACCTAACAGAGGTTCTTTCCCTTCCGCGCTCTGTTAGAAAAGGTTTTTCTTGCTTTCTGATTCCTAAAGAAAAAAAGGTCCTCTCACATCCTGTCTCTGTGACCACCAAGTCTGGGCAGGAAGTGAAGAAAATGTCCACAATGGGTAAACAGATGGCACTAAAAACATGAGATATATATTCTGCTGGAGTTGGAAGTAAGCAGCGCAAATACAAGTCTAAGCAAAGGGCATTAAATGGAGGTTAAAATATGGACACCCTAGAAAGCAGCTGATGTTCAACTGAATTCCAAACAAATGACTAAACACACAGATGAAATAGATATAAGGGAGCTGTTTTACCTGTCAAAAAAAATGTGGACTTCTGTCCATCGAGTCCTGAGATTTACACAGCTCTGCCAAACATCACATCCCTGTCTGGCAAGGGAGGGGACCATATCTTTCTCGGCTGCAGTTTCCCATTTGCTTTACAGGTCTTCTCCCCACCCCTACTTTTACCCCTACAGTTAATGTGTTATTGAATATAGAGCTGCATTCATTTGTATCTTTTTTTGTATCTGTCTAGAGTTTAGCTTTATTTATAATTTTGTTTTTAGTAGTTTAACACTTTCCCTTACGGTGCTGGCTACAGGCCCCTGTAAACCTACTGTCGGCTTTACACTGGTGGCTGAGCTGCTGCCAGATCGCTTCCAGTGAACAGGGTCCCCCCACCCTACACCCCTACCTTGCTTCCTGGGCTCCACTGCCCTTCCATTTGGGCTTGGGACCGACATCATGGGTGTATGCGGGGAGAGAGGTCAGTGAATATCCATTTGCCAATCTCCTCCCTGCTGAATGGAGCCTGAACTGACGCTGATTGCATCACTTCCGGCTTCTCAGCTGTCATCCCCCGGCTTAGCTGGGAAGAAACTATTCAAGTGCGATCCACGCTTACATAGGTTCTCTTTAAGGTGACATTAGGGGTCTATTAGACCCCTAGTGCCACCTTTCCACTTCAGAAAAGCTGTCACCACTGCTATGCTTAGGGAGCTTGAAAGCAGTGAAGATAGGTAAAAAAAGGTAAAAAAAATAAATAAAGTTAAATAAAATCCATTTAAAACTACCAAAAATATGTTAAAGTCCCCGCACCTGCAAATTTGTGCATACTAATGTGAAAACGCGTCGGGTGCACCTCCGTATGAAAATATTACTTTTTTTTAACTGAAATCTTGGGTTTAATAAAGAGTAAAAAAAATGCCAACTGCCACCATTTTATTCTACAGGGTCCATGCTTTCAGGAAAAATATAACTCTTGGGGGTTTTAATTCACAGGCCTAAATGTGGATTATAACGTGTGAAAACTCCATGGGAGGAAAAGGGTTAAAGGCTGCATTGACTGCACCTGGAGTGCTTGTAATTAGGGGTGTCCCAATGCCACTTTTTTAAGACCAAGTACAAGTACTTGCCCTCAGGTACTCGCCGAAACCAATTACTGATACTTTTTCTTAATGGGACACGTGACTTTTTTTTTTTTTAAACAACACAGACGATTTTAGGGCAGTTTCTCACCAGGGCTAAATAAATATGTCACCAGAAATGAATACATGTCCCCAGACCAGAATGCAAGTCCATGTCCCCAGACCAGAATGCAAGTCCATGTCCCCAGACCAGAATGCAAGTCCATGTCCCCAGACCAGAATGCAAGCCCATGTCCCCAGACCAGAATGCAAGCCCATGTCCCCAGACCAGAATGCAAGCCCATGCCCCCACACCAGAATACAAGCCCATGCCCCCACACCAGAATTAGTCTCACCAGGCTGCGTGATGATCTGTACCGGGCGACATGTCTATCTCTGCGATGCAGTTCTTATGCTGTGGAGTGTGCCGATGTCCGGGGCTGTACTGTGTTGTGTGGGGCTGTCCATGGCTGTGCCTGCGCCGGGAAGGAGGAGGAGGGCATATACAACCGGACAGGCACTGCCATGGACAGCTACGTGCAGGTCCCCAGTAGGCTGCCGAGGTCTCAACAAGCCCGGAACTCGGACGGCTGCTTCAATTTTGAAGATTTAAAGGGCTGTTATTGGCCTTAAGAATCAGGGAATTTTCACGAGTACAAGTACATGTGAAAATGCCTGGTATTGGCCCCGATACCGATACTTGTATTGGTATCGGGACTTTCCCACTTGTAATGTATGTATAATAGCACCAAAGTGTTTGTACCTTGTGAGAAATCTCATATTATTAATGCTAATATTTTTATTCCACAGTGGAACTTAATTAACCATCAAGCCTACAAGGTTAACTTGGCATCTTCATTACTATTTGCTGGTCTGCTCATTGGGAATATCGTGTTTGGACCTTTATCTGATAAACTGGGAAGAAGGCCGGTATATTTAATAGGTAAGGGGCCAATTAACGTTCTTTGTTGTTGTTTCAAAATGCATCTTCTGTAGAATAGTCCTGTATATATGAGTGTTATACTTTTTTTCTGTTTAGCAGTTTTCTGTGCTGGTAGATTCAGATTTTCGGCTGTAAAATAAACTCGCAAAGCTTATTACACATATTCTCACTGCCTAAAATAACACTAGCTTCATGCTAGCGATAACTACAGGTTTGGGAGGATGTCTATTAAGGAGAACAAGAAAAATAGCCAGCTGAGGTGGTAATAAAATAGCCCTTCAGATGATAACATTATTCAGGAAATAACAAGGCTTGCACAAGAAACTATGACAATTCCACCTCGAAGTGCTATCCCTGTGAAATTAACATCTTCACAAACATAAATCTATAAAGTTTAGCTCTTCCGCTGCAGCCTGGGATGTCAATCTCAACTGCAAGCCTCGCGTTTTGCCCACCGAGAACCATGTAAGCAAGTGAAAGTTCTGGCGTAGAATTACAATTCCTCATTATTGGTTAAAAGCGAAAATCCAATACAGCACAGCAACAAGATGCTCACACATATTTCCACTTTTGCAGCCAAATTGGGATAACACCTTCTATTTGTTTCATTTTACAGATGAATAGATGTGTGTAGATATTGATAACTTTCTTTCATCAGAAAATGATGTACAGTATATGCAATACCAAACTTTGTATAGTACTTTAAGAATGATTTAGCCCATGCAATCATTTATGCAGCCATCATTTCTTATGTTCACAGGGCTGTTATTTGATGTCATCTTTGGTTACCTAACGGCTTTGGCTCCAAGCTATGGCCTTTTTGCCATATCACGATTATTTGTTGGGATAATGAATGGTGGAATGGCCTTGGTCTCTTTTGTATTAACACAAGAGTATGTGGGAAAATCATACTGGGCATTAACTGGTAAGTTCATGAAGAGTCATGGGCATGGAATGGTAGTAAATAAAGGTGGCCATGCATATTCCAATCTGTTTATACAATACATAGCCAACAGCTATGTGGTGCAAGGGTCTGCAAGATTCAATGCAAATTGAATCACACATTACAATCTGTTTATATGATGTCCCTAATGTCGGCCAACAGCAATGTGGTGCAAGGGTCTGGATACAAATTCAATCACACATTACATAGTTTTGGAAACTCTAAAGGAGATTGTACAGTCTTTGCAGTCAGATTGTAAAGAATATGACCAGATTTAGCTGTTAAGCTGGCCATACAAACAGTAGAATTTTGTTCAAAATGTTTTGTTTTCAGAATATTAGAATATTTGTTTGAATTACTTATGGTTAGTTGGGTCTAATTGAAGTTTGACTGCAGTGAATAGGGAAATTGAAAAAACATACAGTAAAATGTGATTTTTGTTTGGGAAAAATTGCACATACTGTAATTTGCATGTGATAGGCACAAAAGAAACCTGTTTAATAAATCTGGAATTCCATTCAAGTCGCAGGTTCGGATTCATATTATATATTTTTTTAAAGTGACACTAAACTCAGGCGTTGAATCTTAAAGATGCCTTCAAATACCTTTTAACTACGTATATACTCGAGTATAAGCCGAGATTTTCAGCCCATTTTTTTGGGTGAAAAGTGCCCCCCTCGGCTTATACTCGAGTCAGCGCCAGCGCGTCTTCTTACTTACCTCGCCGAGCGTCGTGTCACTGCTGCTCCGGTGTGCGGCGCTCCGAGCGGGGTCATCTGGCAGTCTCCCGGTCCTAATTTAGGTGGCCGGAGACTGCCAGATGACCCCGCTCGGAGCGCCGCCCACCGGAGCAGCAGCGACGCTCGGCGAGGTAAGTAAGAAGAAAAAAAAAACCCCGCAGCGCCAGTACAGCAGGGGAGCAGGGATGAGTCAGCGGCGCGCTGATCAGGCGAGAGGAGCTCCAGGTGGGGTTGTAATTTAGCGGGCAGGCACCTCTGAGCCAGCTAAATTAGGACCCCACCTGGAGCTCCTCCCACTGGACCAGCGCGCCGCTGACTCGTCCCTGCTCTCTCCGTGATGTGATGATCCGATCACCGGCACACAGTGAGTGAGGGGAGGGAGGGGGGGGGGGGGTAGAGAGAGAGATTAATTAAGCAATTATATATGTATTGTCTGCACTGTATTAGCAGTATATACTCTATATAGAGTATATACTGCTAATACAGTGCAGACAATACATTTACAATTATACTAACATGAATGTATTAAATGATCTGTATGTAGCCCTGTACTATGGATCATTTAACCCATTCATGTTAGCAGAGGATCATTGTAAATGTATTGTTGCAGGCACTCTATATGTACATGTACTATATACTACATATAGAATGCACTGAACAATAGATTTACAATTATCCTCTGCTAATATGAATGGGTTAAATGATCCGTAGTACATGATATGTAGCCCTGTACCCCCTTTTCCACTTACAGAGCTAGGTTATTTTTCTTTTAAATAAATATTAATGTCATTTTATTGGTATCTATCTACCAGTAGCTGCCTCATTTCCCACCCTCGGCTTATATTCGGGTCAATACTTTTTCCCAGTTTTTTTTGGTCAAATTAGGTACCTCGGCTTATATTCGGGACGGCTTATACTCGAGTATATACGGTATTAACAAAAATGTATCTCATTTGAGTATCACTCATCTGTAGATCCTCAAATCATCTCTGAATTGGTGCTGACACTGTCCTTCCTTCTGAAGGGTGCCTACTTTTGTTCCCCATGGTCCCTGTGTGTTGTAAAGTAGCCAGCTCTCCAAGCTCGCTCCAGTGATGAAGTACAATCTCAAAACAAATTAGTAAACCAAACATGAGATTGATCCATTTTAGGCATGAGCTTGGAGCGGTGACTACTTTACAACACACACAGGGACAATGGAGAACAAATGTAGCCACCCTCCAGAATGAAGGGCAGTGTCAGCATGAATTCAGAGATGATTTGAGGATCTACAGCCAATAGGGCTGCAGCTAACGATTATTTTCATAATCGATTGGTTAGCCGACTAATCAGATAAAATAATACCATAATTTATTTAAAATAAAGTACACAAATGCAGCGTTACAGACATAAAGTTTACTTCAGAATAAAACGGTATGCGCATTTTTTTGAAATCACATTGCACTGGAGTGCAGGGCATTGCAGTACCGCGCGTTCCAGTGCGGGCGATCACACTGTGGACGGGAGGTACAGTTGCAGCAAAATTTGTCAGGCCGAAAACACAAAATTACTTTTGAAAAATGGCCTGGACAGGAAGGTGGTTTAGCACCCTGGTCTTTTAAGTGGTTAAAATAACACACCCCCAAAAAAATGTTATATTTTTTTTAAACTTTTATTTGTTTTTGCATTTTTTATTTAACTTTAAAAAAAAATGTTTAGTCCTTTTTAATTTTAGTTTATTTAAAATTTTAGTTTATTTAACTTTAGTTTTTTAAACCCTTTTTCAACTTTATTTCTGAGAGGCATACCCAGCCTGCTATTGCATATTTTCATATTGCAATAGCAGGCTGGCTATTGTACCCACCCAATGCCTGTTGTCAATCAGCAGAGGAGGTACCTGAAAGAGAAAGTTCTCTATCAGGTCCTCCTCTGCTGGTTGACAGTGGGCAGGTGTAATAGCCAGCCTTCTATTGGTTATTGCATTTTAAAATATCCAATAGGTCTCTCCTCCCCGCTGGTTCCGACTGTAGTGGTCTGTATCCCCGCTGCCTCTTCGGATACAGGCGGGAAGAGCAGCGGGGATTGAAAGGGACACAGACAGCTGCAGTCAGCACCTGCGGAGAGGAGAACAGAGGAGCAGAGAGGCGGCAACTAATCGAAAAGCAACTAATCAATGACAAGAATCGTTGCCACTGATTCTCATTATCGATTTTATAATCGATTTAACCGATTAGTTGTTGCAGCCCTAACAGCCGAATGATGCACAAATTAGATACATTTCCTTACTAGTTAAGTAATTTTTCCTGCATTTTTAAGATTCAACTCCTGAGTTTAGTGTCTATGGAACCTGTGTAAATTACTTTTACACAGGGCACAAGGTGTTTAAGGGCTTTCAAACTAAATTAGTTGACACAAAGATCGGATGTTCTGACAAATAATTGTGAATTAATGTTTGAACAGCGAGCTTTTATTTATGTTGTATGGTCAGAAAGTTACAGCTAAGTTTCCCAAAGTTCTGTTAAAAAAAAAAGAGTTTTGGAAATAATCAGGTAAGAAGATGGAGATGGTACATTTTTAAATTAGTGGATCTTCATTCTAAAAATGTTCATTTCAGGCATGTTGAGGTGTTTTGCTCTTAGCCAAGTCTTAAAAGTTTAAAAAAAAATCAATTTTAACACAAAAAGGTTATTTTATACACTTTCTTCTCATGCTCTGCCCTCCCTTTCCCACCAGCAGTTTGCATACCTCCTCGTGGTTTTGCTTTTTTCTGCCCATCCTCTTTAGCTTACCACTTTGTCAAACAAAAGGCAGTTGGCCGTGATGTGTTGGTGTAATGTGTGTTTGCTTTAGATAACCTGTTTTGTTTTGTTTGTACAACCAGTTGCCATACAGTACTGTGCAAAAATTTTAGGCAGGTGTGGAAATATGCTGTAAAGTAAGAATGCTTTTAGAAATAAGTGTTAATAGTTTATTTTTATCAATTAACAAATGGAAAGTAAATGAACAGAAGAGAAATCCAGATTAAATCAATATTTGGTGTGTCCACCCTTTACCTTCAATACAGCATCAATTCTTCTAGGTACACTTGCACACAGTTGTTGAAGGAACTCGGCAGGTCGGTTGTTCCAAACATATTGAAGAACTAAGCACAAATCTTCTGTGGATCTAGGCTGCTTCAAATCCTTCTGTCTCTTCATGTAATCCCAGACAGACTCCATGGTGTTGAGATCAGGGGTCTGTGGGAGCCAAACTATCACTTCCATGACTCCTTGTTCTTCTTTAGCAGAAGATAGTTCTTAATGACATTTGCTGTATGTTTGGGGTCGTTGTCTTCCTGCAGAATAAATTTGGGGCCAATCACACACCTCCCTGATGGTATGGCATGATGGATAAGTATCCGCTTTTATTTCTCAGCAATGAGGACACCATTGATCCTGACCAAATCTCCAAATCCATTGGGAGAAATTCAGCCCTTTGGCGAACAAACTGCCTCCTGCTACAACCAAATATTTCAAATTTTGATTCTCAGTCCAGAGCACCTGTTAATATCATTAATGTCTAGAGCACCTTTGTAAAGGACTTTCACTTACCTGATCTCATTTGCCCCAGTACTCTCTCCGTCTCTCCTTTTCCCCCCGCTTGTGGACAGTCCCTTGGTGTCCTTGTGTGCAATACAGGGATATGGGCCCTTCATTGTATGGAATGATGTCAGCAAGCCTCTGAGCACTGCAGTTAAGGTGGGAAGAGGCTGCAGGTCCAGTCCTGGAAACTGAGGGAGCAGGGATCAGGTAGCTAAAAGTAATTTACACAGGTTCCATAGACATTACCTCAACAGTGCAAGGGGAAATTGGTGCTGACACTGTCCTTCCTTCTGAAGGGTGCCTACTTTTGTTCCCCATGGTCCCTGTGTGTTGTAAAGTAGCCAGCTCTCCAAGCTCGCTCCAGTGATGAAGTACAATCTCAAAACAAATTAGTAAACCAAACATGAGATTGATCCATTTTAGGCATGAGCTTGGAGCGGTGACTACTTTACAACACACACAGGGACAATGGAGAACAAATGTAGCCACCCTCCAGAATGAAGGGCAGTGTCAGCATGAATTCAGAGATGATTTGAGGATCTACAGCCAATAGGGCTGCAGCTAACGATTATTTTCATAATCGATTGGTTAGCCGACTAATCAGATAAAATAATACCATAATTTATTTAAAATAAAGTACACAAATGCAGCGTTACAGACATAAAGTTTACTTCAGAATAAAACGGTATGCGCATTTTTTTGAAATCACATTGCACTGGAGTGCAGGGCATTGCAGTACCGCGCGTTCCAGTGCGGGCGATCACACTGTGGACGGGAGGTACAGTTGCAGCAAAATTTGTCAGGCCGAAAACACAAAATTACTTTTGAAAAATGGCCTGGACAGGAAGGTGGTTTAGCACCCTGGTCTTTTAAGTGGTTAAAATAACACACCCCCAAAAAAATGTTATATTTTTTTTAAACTTTTATTTGTTTTTGCATTTTTTATTTAACTTTAAAAAAAAATGTTTAGTCCTTTTTAATTTTAGTTTATTTAAAATTTTAGTTTATTTAACTTTAGTTTTTTAAACCCTTTTTCAACTTTATTTCTGAGAGGCATACCCAGCCTGCTATTGCATATTTTCATATTGCAATAGCAGGCTGGCTATTGTACCCACCCAATGCCTGTTGTCAATCAGCAGAGGAGGTACCTGAAAGAGAAAGTTCTCTATCAGGTCCTCCTCTGCTGGTTGACAGTGGGCAGGTGTAATAGCCAGCCTTCTATTGGTTATTGCATTTTAAAATATCCAATAGGTCTCTCCTCCCCGCTGGTTCCGACTGTAGTGGTCTGTATCCCCGCTGCCTCTTCGGATACAGGCGGGAAGAGCAGCGGGGATTGAAAGGGACACAGACAGCTGCAGTCAGCACCTGCGGAGAGGAGAACAGAGGAGCAGAGAGGCGGCAACTAATCGAAAAGCAACTAATCAATGACAAGAATCGTTGCCACTGATTCTCATTATCGATTTTATAATCGATTTAACCGATTAGTTGTTGCAGCCCTAACAGCCGAATGATGCACAAATTAGATACATTTCCTTACTAGTTAAGTAATTTTTCCTGCATTTTTAAGATTCAACTCCTGAGTTTAGTGTCTATGGAACCTGTGTAAATTACTTTTACACAGGGCACAAGGTGTTTAAGGGCTTTCAAACTAAATTAGTTGACACAAAGATCGGATGTTCTGACAAATAATTGTGAATTAATGTTTGAACAGCGAGCTTTTATTTATGTTGTATGGTCAGAAAGTTACAGCTAAGTTTCCCAAAGTTCTGTTAAAAAAAAAAGAGTTTTGGAAATAATCAGGTAAGAAGATGGAGATGGTACATTTTTAAATTAGTGGATCTTCATTCTAAAAATGTTCATTTCAGGCATGTTGAGGTGTTTTGCTCTTAGCCAAGTCTTAAAAGTTTAAAAAAAAATCAATTTTAACACAAAAAGGTTATTTTATACACTTTCTTCTCATGCTCTGCCCTCCCTTTCCCACCAGCAGTTTGCATACCTCCTCGTGGTTTTGCTTTTTTCTGCCCATCCTCTTTAGCTTACCACTTTGTCAAACAAAAGGCAGTTGGCCGTGATGTGTTGGTGTAATGTGTGTTTGCTTTAGATAACCTGTTTTGTTTTGTTTGTACAACCAGTTGCCATACAGTACTGTGCAAAAATTTTAGGCAGGTGTGGAAATATGCTGTAAAGTAAGAATGCTTTTAGAAATAAGTGTTAATAGTTTATTTTTATCAATTAACAAATGGAAAGTAAATGAACAGAAGAGAAATCCAGATTAAATCAATATTTGGTGTGTCCACCCTTTACCTTCAATACAGCATCAATTCTTCTAGGTACACTTGCACACAGTTGTTGAAGGAACTCGGCAGGTCGGTTGTTCCAAACATATTGAAGAACTAAGCACAAATCTTCTGTGGATCTAGGCTGCTTCAAATCCTTCTGTCTCTTCATGTAATCCCAGACAGACTCCATGGTGTTGAGATCAGGGGTCTGTGGGAGCCAAACTATCACTTCCATGACTCCTTGTTCTTCTTTAGCAGAAGATAGTTCTTAATGACATTTGCTGTATGTTTGGGGTCGTTGTCTTCCTGCAGAATAAATTTGGGGCCAATCACACACCTCCCTGATGGTATGGCATGATGGATAAGTATCCGCTTTTATTTCTCAGCAATGAGGACACCATTGATCCTGACCAAATCTCCAAATCCATTGGGAGAAATTCAGCCCTTTGGCGAACAAACTGCCTCCTGCTACAACCAAATATTTCAAATTTTGATTCTCAGTCCAGAGCACCTGTTAATATCATTAATGTCTAGAGCACCTTTGTAAAGGACTTTCACTTACCTGATCTCATTTGCCCCAGTACTCTCTCCGTCTCTCCTTTTCCCCCCGCTTGTGGACAGTCCCTTGGTGTCCTTGTGTGCAATACAGGGATATGGGCCCTTCATTGTATGGAATGATGTCAGCAAGCCTCTGAGCACTGCAGTTAAGGTGGGAAGAGGCTGCAGGTCCAGTCCTGGAAACTGAGGGAGCAGGGATCAGGTAGCTAAAAGTAATTTACACAGGTTCCATAGACATTACCTCAACAGTGCAAGGGGAGTTCTTCCCCCCCCCCCCCTGGAGATGAGCTTTAAATGATCACACACCAAAAACGGGACAATAGAAGACATGAAAAAGGAAGATAAATAATAGGGGATGGAAAGAGTGATGGAATATTTGCAATATACAAGGATGAGGGAGAAATGTAGGGAATATAAATATGAAAACGTTTTAAACAAGTAATATTTAAAAAAGGCGAAATTTATTCCTCAATGTCTGGTGTTTTAAATAGTTATAGATGGTTTTAAATATTTATGGAAAAGTTTTATTCTGTAGGGTTAGACATAGAGTGATGATGATGTATGTAATCTTTCATTATGTTGAGTGGAATTAGAAAATCCTCTGAAACAGCTAATTAAAAAATGATGTAAGCTAATCAAGACATTATATGTCATTAACACTGTTTTTATAAAAAGATCACTCCATCGTATGAAGGAGTACAGTCTAACATAACTTCAGCCAGCATTCCAAACACACAAATATATTTTGTTTCCTAATCAAGAAAGTCTTCATCATGTTCTGCAATGCTGCATGGAATACGTGCTGAAGAGTTTGCAGCAAACTGAGTACTCACTTTCAGCTTAGGATGTTTATTTGATAATTCTGTGGGAAACTAATATATTTACTAGCTTTTTTATTTAGAAAGTATGTTTGTGTGCTGAAGTACTCTAAGCAATAGGTAAACTAAGAATGAACAGGCTGCATGTATTCTTATCCTAGAGTGGCTTACTTCTGCCCATAGACTGCAAAGTCTTTGTGCATATGAGCCAGCTGATGACTGTGTGTAAGCACTTGTGAAACAGACACTGATAATATAGCAATATTGCTAACCCTTGGTGATCTTCTGAGAGTGTCTTTTTGTTATTATTCCACCACATAAGTGATTGCATCACCTGTTCTATATAACACTATATACGTCTGCATTTTGCAAACCCAACAGTCTGAATTGTTCATTGAAATTCTGTATATCATCATAACTTTAACCAAAACTCTTTTTTTTTTTGGATTGGCTAGAGTGGGAAAGAGTTAGAACCTCCTCAAATGTTTTTTTTATCTGTATTTTCTTTGGGAAGATTTTGTTTCATGTCCTTTACCATAGACAAGACAGGAAATAGGACAATCTCTAGAAATTAGGGGAAAGTCCCACCTTTGATTGTTATAACCGAAACAAGGATACTCATTGGGAGATTTCTACAAATACCTTGTTTTGGTGATAAATGTCAAAATTTAGATTTCTGTTTACTTTGTATCTCCTTGACAACTGTCACCTGTTATTGTGGCAAGGGTGAATGTTCCCTTTGGGGATAATAATAATTGTGACCCTTCCCTGCGGTGTCCAAAAGTAGAAAGAAAAATGGTTGTAGTTCCAATCGCATCATTTTAGGTTTGAGGTTGAAGACTTTAAGTTTAGGAAAATTAAAATTTGTGTCTTAAATGTGAATTAATGGCCTTTAACGCATTCTTATATATATTCTTTATAAAAATGTTTCACAGTTATATTTCTCTTTTTTAGGTTCCCTAACAAATCTCACTTTTGCTATTGGCATAGCGATATATGCCTTGTTGGGTTATTACATTCGAGACTGGAGACGACTTGCATTTGTGGCCAACACGCCCGGTGTTTTCTTTTTTCTTCTTTCTTTGTAAGTTACATTGTTACATGCTTTTATTTTACATTGTTTAATAGGGTTGATACAAATAATGTCTATCAAGTTCAACATCTGACAGCTATGACAGTTTTGGTACAGAGGAAGAAAACCTTCAAGGATCACTGTTGCCAATTTTGCTACACAAGAACACAAATTCCTTTAAATCAAAATATTGCTCTAATAGTTTATCGTAGCAATACTTTAGGTCGATTGCAAGTCGGCTCCCTGTCCCAAGCTCTCTCCCCTGGTGCTAGTGCGGCCGAATGTCTTGGATGCAGGGAGAAGCGTCCTGCACCTCCCCGCCTGCTGCATCCAACACATTTTGGCCGCACTAGCACCACGGGAGGACAGGCCAAGACACACAGGTATTCGGCTATTGTGGAGGTATGAGAGCAATAGACAATCATTTATTCATGGCGCAGCACTTGTTGGGCAATACAGTACAGGTTGAGTAAGACTTTGATTTGTTTCAGAAGAAAACCCACTGAGTTAGTATAATCGAATATTGATCAAGCATGATGGCCAGGAGAGACAGCCAGGAGGATGAGTGAGGCGAGACAGCCAGGAGGATGAGTGAGGCGAGACAGCCAGGAGGATGAGTGAGGCGAGACAGCCAGGAGGATGAGTGAGGCGAGACAGCCAGGAGGATGAGTGAGGCGAGACAGC